ATTTGTGGGGGGAGAGAGAGAGAGAGAGAGAGAGAGAGAGAGAGAGAGAGAGAGAGAGAGAGAGAGAGAGAGAGAGAGACAGAGAGAGAGAGAGTGAAAAGGGTACAACTCTCACCAAGAGGCCTACTGATATCCACCTTGATTCGGCTACAGCCAGGGGGTGGTATGTCCAACTTGTCACTTCTTTTAGTGTTGATGTCACTGGCGGGACTATTATTCGCACTGGCAGCAGCCACAGTAGTCAACTTGCTCCCCTTCCAAGACAACTCCACAACATTACTGGCACGGTCTTTGCCGCCGTTAAAGTTGCGACCCCAAGTGGACTGGCTCCTCGGTGTGCTTGTTGTCCTGCAGGTTCCCTGTTGCTGTCGCTCTACCTTACAAGAAACAATCAGAAGGAAACACACACTCGTCATTAATTAGAACAGCAAATCGCCATTTCGTTAGACTTCGTGAAATATTTTATTTTCAATGCACAATATAGAAATGTGCCATGCAGACATTGCAGAGTGGAACTTCCTTGAGGGACTGCGTAGGGATACACAAATCGTGGATGGCTTTAGTATCGTAGATGACGTGACGATTTCCATTCGGGTAACAAGAGACTAGGGCGTACCAGATTTTGGACTGTTTATCCCGGTGCTATGGGTCAGTCCTCGGATTGGTTCATACCGATGATAGGGGTGACCACTGGACCTTTGCTCGGAATAATGTCTTCAAGGATGGCCTTACCTGGGGAACTGTCGGTATTGTCAAAAATGCTGACTGTTTGTGAGACTCGGCCTGGCCCACTCGGGTGATCTGGTTTTTGGAAGTTCTGAGGATTATGGCTCATATTCTAGTAAGAGGGCCAAAGTTGGAGACATCCTGAGTACCTTGCACCATGTATGCCAGCTTGCCAATGATACTTGGGGTCGGCAGCAGGCTATGCTAGCAGTCAGAAAGGGACTGCTGATTCAAGTTAGCGCCTCCTCCTCCTCTCTCTCTCTCTCTCTCTCTCTCTCTCTCTCTCTCTGTGTGTGTGTGTGTGTGTGTGTGTGTCTGTCTCTGTCTGTGTGTGTGTGTGTGTGTGTGTGTGTATATGTGTGTGTGTTTCTCTCTCTCTCCCCCCTCCCCGCCCCCCTGTGCACCCTCGTTTTCTATCGTTTTATTTCATTTTTACTTCTAAGGTGTATCGTTTTTTCTTTTTTGTATTGGATTTTTTTGTTTATTCCTCACTACTTCGTTGTAATACCGGTAGTAGGACGGCCGACCTCCTCACGATTTTTTAGTTTATTCCTCACTTTTTCAGGCGGGAGACTTGGAAGCTGGTCAGCTGGGGGACGCAGCTGCAATGACTTGCTGTTTCTGAGTGCCTGTAGCCTCTCTCTGTCGAGGCTGTACTATAGGTAGGACAGATTCGTAATTTTGTTTGGCTGAGGGCTAACCGAGAGACCTACCTGTGAGGGAAATTCTTGAGGGACATATCTGCAAATCCGGGAAAATACAGGCCCGGTACTAACTCGATTCCCTACAGCTACCCTAACTGCGGATAGCAGGCCCGGGCTACCCCTAGACAGACAGGCCCCATGGGCCTATTCTGAATAGACGGTCCTATAGCCTATAGCCGGGTCCGGTAGAGGCCTAGAGGCCGAAACAGATATGGTACCGGTCGGACAGTCAGTCCGGTCTAGGTTGGTGTAGGCTAGAAGTAGGATGGGCACATCGGTTCAGGGCTTTTGGCAGTTGGTACCGTGTACATCGCTGCTGCGCTACGTGTGAACCGGAAGTGGTGACCGCTCAGCGTGGAGTGGAGACGGACATAGCCAGACCTTCGGAGCGCAGGCCATAGCTGGGACCTGCGCTGTACTCTGCCAGCACAGAGGGGCTGACAGAGGTCTGGGTTACTGGGGTCTGCTGGAGGCGAGAGAGATTGGTGCCCTGCTGGACCCTCCTCCGGAGTGGGGTCCCAGAGGGTTTGCGCTGCAGCCATAGCTGCAGCTCTTCATCTCAGAGGTCATCCTGTCAGGGTTTGGTGGTGCTGCTGCAGGCTTCCACCCGGGAAGCCTCCCGACACTTCGTCATCATCAGATACTGTGGTGCTGGTCTTCTTCTTCATCCTCTGAGTGGCGCTTGGCCTCAGAGGCCTGTTTCAGGGTGGCGCTGCCCCCAGGAGACTGTATTTGGGTGGCGCTTGATGTTTCAGGGCTCAGGGGGTGTTACGGGTGTCTATCAGGGTTGGAGAGTGAAGCGCACTGTAGTTCTGAAGTGATCCTGACATTTCGAGACTCTGAGTTTAATAAACAGTGCATAACTGTGTTTGGACTATCATTGTTTCATTGGTTCCTGGATGTGATCTGCTCGGCTTTTCTCTATGACTAGTTGTGAGGATTGAATGGGGTGAATTGCACTTTCAGTGTACCCTGTCATATCGCATGGACAAGTCTTCCGCTGTGTTTATCTCTCCCTGTGCGGTGTGATACTCCTATCCTCTCCCCTTCCTTCTGTGTGTGTATGGGCATGTGCAGAAGTTTATGTGAGTGAGTGTTGGCCTTCAGGCAACGTACAACCAGAATCATAACACAGCGCTACCGGGAGCGCTGCGCCCACTCGGGCCAAAACGACGGGTGCACTAACGAGCGTTGAGATGAAAAGCTGCAATGGCGCTTTCACGAGGGCACGGCGGCTCAATACCGTGTGTGGCGATGGTGCTTCTGAGAGACTTCCATGGATGTGGAGATAGGAGGGGTGTGTGGTTTGAGCAGCGTGTGGTTTGAGTAGCCATGTGGGAGGGGGTCTTTCTGTCTTCTGTGTTTAATTTATGTCTCTCACTTCTCCGGTTCTTTGCTGTCGTGGGTCGTTGGATTTGGCTGAATTCTTTGTGAAGCTGTGTTGATAGGCTTGATATGGTCATTCACAACGCAACCGTGTTCGGGGAGTAACAGGAAGGAGGGGGCGTCCACTAATCTCTTCTGGTTGGTGCACTCTGCCGTGGGGCTATACTAGCACCAACTACCATTTCGTCAAAATTGACATTTTTTATAAATTGAAACTGAGTTTTTCAACTTTGTGGCTGAAAACTCGTCTAATTTTTTCTGCTCCTGAGGGTCCGGCGTTTTTTAAATGCTGGACCCCCTGGATGTATCAGGACTAAGCTTGAGACCAGATACATCTCGGGGGGACCGCCTAAATGTATCTGGTCTCAAGCTAGGTCCAGATACATACAGGGGGTCCAACATTTAAAAAACGTCGGATCCTCGAGAGCAACAAATTTAGACTGAGTTTTTGGCCAAAAAAGTTGAAAAAACTCTGTTTCAATTAAATTTGTTCAAAAACAAAAAAATGTCATTTTTTTACGAAACGGCTCTTCATCGGCTGTGGGGAGGAGGAGCAGCTCCTTCTATAGGAAGAGGTAGGGGTTGAGTTTGGTCTGGACAGCAGTTGGGCAGCTGGACAAGGGGACTGCAGGAGCAGAGCGGTGCATGATGGTCTGCAGTGATTGGACTTCAGGTGAAGTTCAAGGCGGCGTCCCGTAGCAACGGGAGCTCTGAGTGCAGCATTTTTCCAGAATTTAACCCTAAGTACTACTATGATGGATGATTTGATGGTTAGGGATGTCTCATTGGTGTTTTGTAAATCAGAAACCTAGTCTATTTCCTGATATTTTTCTTGGATGGTGAGTTGAATGTTGCCGATCTCAACATCCGACGGGTGATCTGTGAGTCTGATTTCTGTCTGATTCTCAATAATTTCCTGAGTGGGGATCCAGGCTGCTCGGGTGACCGGGAGGGGCCCGGGGGAGGTGCAGAGCAGTCTGGCCGGGCAGGGCAGCCGGTTGGGGGCCGGGCCCCCCCAGTGCACTCGCCTGTTGTGAGAGAGAGAGAGAGAGAGAGAGAGAGAGAGAGAGAGAGATGTGTTTGAAATTTACTTGCAGCGCATCTCATGCGCGGGGTGCTGCACGCACATGCACACACGCACAAGTGATGCGGCGCATTAAAAAAATAGAAAAACAAAAATGTCCTAGTTGTGTCCAGCCTCTTTTCGGAAGGATCCCTATATAGCATATTAGCTAGGACCCGACGTCATGCAGAGGTACACTTCAAACTTGTACTCCATGGGGGTCGGCAGAGAATATATAGTCTACATTCGAATTCAGGTCTGTGCATGTCGGTTATGGGTCACCATTTCTCTGTCTTCTCACTTTTCTTTTCTTTTCTCGTTTTTCTTTTCTTAGGAATAAGTGCAGTGGCCCTAAGGGCCTTTACTCACCAAATGCACAAAAGACAAAACATATGGTGGCGTATTATTCCTCGTTCTGCAGAAGATTCATTCTAATTTTGCACATTTCGTGAGTAGTGCAGCCAAGCCCTAAGAGTCACGTGAAGAGACCAACAGTCCCTAGCTGCGTGAGCAACCCATAACTGCTGAAACACAGACCTGAATTCGAATCTTGAGTATATATTTGGCCAGCTCGTGATCTATTTCATATTCACTGCCTGCCTTGATTTTGGATGGGGGGTCTGCGCTACATGTCTGCGAGGACCTTTCAGATAGCCTGCATGGGTTGTCTGAGCCGTGTTAAGAGGATCCGTTCTCTCTCTCTCTCTCTCTCTCTCTCTCTCTCTCTCTCTCTCTCTCTCTCTCTCTCTCTCTCTCTCTCTCTCTCTCTCTCTGTGTGTGTGTGTGTGTGTGTGTGTGTGTGTGTGCTGTCTCTTATACACATCTAGATGTGTATAAGAGACAGATCACAGACACTCCCCCAACCCCAGCACCCCCCACCGGGAACAACCCCCCCMTCCCCCCCACCAAAACCAAAATTTTATTGCAGATTCGGGGTCCTCTCACCGAGCGCAGAACGACCCTGGTTTCAAAAAAAAAAAAATAATAATAAATCTGGGAGTTTTTTTGTCCTGCCCGGTTTACCCAGCCGGGCCCCCCGGGCCCAACTGGCTGGGCCCAGCCCGGCAGGGCAGGCCCGGCCGGGCGGTGTCCTCACTCATATAATTTATTTTTTTCATAGATTGATGGTCGAAGTTTACAATCGACTACTTTGTTTTGTACTCATATAACCATATAAATTAGTCTTCAGAATACAAAATCTGGTAAATTTTCAAAGCCACTAAAGCCACAGCCGTAAGATTCGTAAGTCTATTTGGACATCAGCGCAGAATTTGATGTTTTGTACTTCTGACGCAGAATTTGATGTTTTGTACTTCTGGCGTCATAATCTACGATTTCAAATAGTAGAATCCTGTTTTTTATCTAAGTTCTGCTTTTCATGAAATAATTTATGTGTATGGATAAAACCCGAACTAAGTGCTGGAATTTCGCCCGGCAGAGTTATATTCTAGTACCTTGTTTTTGCATTGATCGTGTTTGATATACTTGGATTTGGATGGTGCTTTTTTCTCTCTCCAGCTTACCGCTCCATGCTGGAGTCGCATAGGTAGTGATGAGTGCTTTTTGGCTAAGTGGGGTTAGTAGTTGGAAGGATATGACGCGTCCTGCTGGCAAGGGGGTTAGTTGGTAGGACCGAAATAGGGCACTCCTCCCCCAACATTGCTCTTAGGTATACCCATCTCCCGTTATGGCGGTCATACTCGTAGTCCAGCGGGGTGAGTCTCGACGAGGGAGGGATCCATATTGCAACCCCTGTCGATGCGCCTGATTTCGCCGGGGCCGAAAAGGACGTATAAGGCCTGATCCATTTTACCTTGGCCCTGTGAGCGGGTGAGTGTGTTAAATGTGTTTCTTGCACACATATCGCATCCGGCCAGGTAGTCGTCCCTTCCATTCTGAACATCTTCCAGATTGCCTCTTTTTTCTCCTGAGGGGCCTGGGCCAGCCCATTGAGGTTGAGTGCTCTAACGTCCAGGTCCACTCGAGAAATCTCACACATCCACTGTGGGGGGCGTCTGAGTGGAGGCTGCACCCTGGGGTCGGGGGGCGGTGGTGCTGGTGGTGGTGGCGGCGACGGGTGGTACACAGCACACTGTATCATTGGTTGGGCTTGCATATGAAATTTCCAATGTTTGTGCAGTCCTCTTCAGATTATGCTGTTTCCACCTGCCTCACAGTGCCCGATGATGAGTCGAGGGACTGTAGTAGTCGGGCGGGCATTACTTGCCGAGGAGACAGTTCCAGTTCAAAATCTTCGTCCGATTCTGAATCTGGTTAGGAATGTCTAATCTTCATGTCCCTCCAAATAGTTCACTTTGTATCTTCCACTGATACAGCAACGTCTTCAAAACTGAACGGTCTGCAACATTCAGTGGGTTCCATCCAACCCTCTGACTTAGGGCCTCGTTCGACACCACTCGAAAATACTTTCTTCTTACCTCACATTCTGACCCCTTGGGGGTAGCAAAGCGCTGGCCAAATTTTCCCATTTGAGTCCACTGGTCCTTCGTTTCACCCACCACCGAGGAGTCTCCTTGGGAAGCACACCTGCGACGATCGTGTTCGTCAAAAGGAATGGTGCGTCCCAAACACCCGGGGAGGATTGCACGTCCATCATCGCTTGGGCGATGGCCGCCTCCCTTCTCCCTCTCCGCCGACATATGTCACGCCGGATGCTGTTCACCGCCTGCAAATGCCGGCATACTGCCAACAAATGCCGGCATACCGCCATCAAAGTCGTCGCCAAGAGTGACCTCTCCGCGGCTGTCAGCGTCACCACCCCCGCACCTTCCCCTTCCAACGCTTCCATCTCCAGATTCCTCGACCGCCCGAGCGAAGGCCAGACAACAACCGAGCGACCTGATGCGCGGCGAAGACAGTTCTTGCGATGGTGATCCTGCGAAGGTGGCGGCGGCAAGCCTCTCTACCACAACCGCGACTCTGAAATTCGCGGGGCACTGGCAGATAGTGGGAACAGCGTGTGGGTAGACAGCGGAGGGACCTCCTACACATTTGAAATTCGAATTTCAAAAACAACGCACGCGCCTTGTTCTCCGCAGGGGGATTCCGGGTCGGCTTTCGAAGGGGTCCCACCGGCCGCATTTGAATACAACACGGCCTGCAGTCCCAAACCACTGTACCGGGCGGACAAATACATGTCCGCTGGTGACTTCTGCTCGGACGTCCGAGTGGCGTCCACCGAGTTTGTCAGACACCACGTAGGCACTTCAGTTTCAAGGGCGGCCGTCTCAAGTATTTTTCAAGGGTGTTGTGGAAAGAGAAAAACAGTTAGGGGAAATTAATCCAAAGTTCCGTGTTAGGGCGCCCTTGAATCTCACGATCTCGGATGATGCAGCAGGGCACTCAGCAGCCAGGTGACCGTTGCACGGTCGACCCCACACTCTCATGACGAATGGACCGCTGTCCGGCCACGCATCGGGTCGCTCGGAGGTTTCGAATCGAAATCCTCCTATCGGCCACAATCGCCACCTTCAACAGCACCACCCACCCCCCCTCCCCCACCACGGCCGCGCCAACCAACGGTACCTGAGACTGGCCCAACGGTACGCAAATGCGTTACCGGGTGCCCGCTCGTAGTGTCCCCAGTGCAACTGTCCCAACATGCAGGACGAACAACCTCCATTGAACCAGGTGCAGTCCATTTTTGGGGAAAATTACACAAAAAACGAAAAAATTTTGTCTATAGCCCGTCGGGGAAGGACGGAACCCTTGAGTTTCAACTGACCTCCCGAGGCGCCCTTGAGTTTTTTTTCATTTTGGCTGGAGCGCACTTGAGTTTCAAGGGCAGACCTTTGAGATGGCAAATGTGAAAACATTTCCATCTCCAAATCGTCATCATGAGGGTGTTGTGGAACGATGCTTGACCAAAAATACTTGAGTTTCGAGTGACGTCGAACGAGGCCCTTATAAGTGCCATACTTCACCCTCTTCTACCCTGCAGTCGTCCTTCCTCACAATGTCCGCCTTGTTCTTAGCACTCCTTACTGTTCTCACTGTTCAACGAAGTGTTTGGTGCTTGTCATGCCCCTTCTCACCATGATGCATTTTCTCTCTCTCTCTCTCTCTCTCTCTCTCTCTCTCTCTCTCTCTCTCTCTCTCTCTCTCTCTCTCT